GAAAAAGGAGAAAGATGAGGGAAAGGATAAACAAGAGAAGAAGAAAAAAGAAAAGGAGAAAGGAACATTTTCTAAGCTGACAGCTGAAGAAACAGAGCACATGGCGCTTCAGGCAGCGGTGCTTCAAGAATGGCACATGTTGTGTAAAGATAGAAAGTATACAAAAGTAAACTAAAACAACCAGAGAGAGAGAGAGAAAATGTTGTTTCTAAGATGATGGTACGACAATCTTTGTATTTTTGTGTGTGGTTTCGTCTTAGGAATTAGATATTTAGTCCTGTTGGTGAAGAAAAGAAACGAGGATGTTATTATCGCTACTCTTATGATTTCTTCTGTTCTATTCACAAATTTGACATTAATCTTGATGCATTTATTCATTTCCAAAGATTAAATGTCCAACAAGAAAGGGTGAAGCAAGCGACCCTTCTGTAATCATCAAGAGCATCTGGTGTAAAATGGCTCTGTTTGGCAACGAGAGAACCGGAAAAAGATCCATGTCTATTGTCTGGTACTAATTAAACAAGAAACCCTAACAAGCTTATCCACGCCTGCATTACGATAGTTGCTTACAGATAATAAGACGAATCACATCACTACGTCCCTCTGAGAAGCTTTTCTTCTACGCAGTTACTTGAGAGGGAGTCCTCTTCTTGCCTTTCTTTACCTCTGCTCCTTCATTTTCTGCCGGTTCTGCCTTCTTCTGGGCACGGATCATTGCTCGCCTTGCGCGTGGTCGCATCTCTCTCACTCTACGAGGCGGCATCACGAATGGCTCAAGTGGCTTGTCCCCAAAAGGATGCTCACCGCCTTCAAATATCCTCAGTTTCCGATCTCTGTCCTATACACCCACATGAAGCAGCAAAAAACTCAGCACATTCTTGCTTTAAGCAACAAATTTTAAACTAGACAAGCACTTCATATAGGAATTGAGCCTAGCACCCAAATAACCGAGTAGGCGAGCTGACTAATGAGAACGTATTGAGATAAATAAGCCAGTTTTCCCACCAAAGATGAAAGTAAGCAATAAATAAACAAAATGGCCAAACCAAGTGCTCAGAACCATCTTCCTTCCAAACCTAAATCATATTTCTCAATCAACAAGACCGGCTAGTGAGGAGAGAAAACCCACTAACTTATAAGGCACCAAGGAACTTATACGTTGACTCATGAGGGATTCTAACAAGTAAGAGTAAATCCGGTCCAGGGTAATTTCTGTAGCCAGAGTATTTTAGGGATCTAAAAGACTAGGGATTCAGGTGATAAGAAAATGTTTCACTCAATAGTGTACTCACATCACGCAAATTGTTGCTTGGAAGCATGCGCCAGACAGCCTTACGTATGACCTCTGTGGAATCTTTGGCCATCTGATCTTTTAGACTCCGTTCCTTCAGGTGTCCAACGTACCTGCAAACAGAGATTAATAAAGTAGAAGAAAATGGGAGATACTCGCCAAAAAAATATGATAAATCCCATCTTGCAGCTGAAGATTTTACAGAAGTGTGGTACTTGCCCAGTATGCCAGCGGTAGAATTTGTCGGTGAGCTTTCTTCCTGTGACGTCTATTTCCTTAGCATTGAGAACAATACAAATATCCCCATCGTCGCGGTTAGGACAATAAGTTGGCTTATCTTTGGCTTGAAGCACGGTTGATATCTGAGATGCTAGTCTACCAAGAACCTACATTATATAACAAGATATATTAAAATGAAAATTCTAACAAATGGAAACTACAAAGACACAAGAAAGATGTATTTAAGTTAAAGATGTATACGATAAGGTAGCCTATATGAAATCTGGAAGACTGAAATATTTGTATCACAATTTTGGTTCTGAGTATTCTAAAGATTAAATATAGAGCCATTATGAAACTAACCAAACTTAACAATGTACAGAAGAAGAAAGAAACATTGAGAAAACCTGGCCTCGGGCATCAAATACTCGCCAACGAAGACCGTCGAGATTGATACGCTTTATACCTGCCATAGCTTTCTGCAAAAAGAATCGACAAGACACATTGAAGATGAAGAAAGAATAAAAACAGATTTTTTTCAGATAACTTGTGGTTAGTTCTGGTAGCATAGGTGACACGCTATGAATTTGAACGCACCAGAATCGAGACGAGAAGTGATTATAGTTGAGGAATTCCATATGATTAAGTAAGAAAATGTAGCAAATGGTATTCAGTATTGACAGTAATCTAAGGCGTTTGGCTAAAAACGATCGAAAGCTGGAATATGAAGGAAGAGAGAAGAGAAAATCAAGGAAAAGAGTAATCTTTGAACCTTTAAGTTTCCATTGAAAGTGGCAGCAGCAGCCTGAGTCGCCATCGTTCTCCGAATGAGTTGTTCAGCTATTCAAAGCTGCGATAGCAAAACAAAACATAGTGAGAATGGCATACACAAATCGATTCCATAATAATCATTAAAACAAATCACACAAGAAGAGAGCTTACTTACCGGTTTCCGGTGACAGTGACGGCGGCGGTGAGGAGGGAAGATCTAGGAGGAGCAATCTGTGAAAGAAAGGGTTTTACATCAAGTGTGCGTGTTTGCCCAGGAGAGGGGTACTTTAGTAATTTGCTTTTCTTTTTTCTTTTAGGAAGGAAAAACATTTCTTCATCTTTTTCAGTCGTCGAGGGTTTTAGGCAAAACACCAGAGCAGATACCAAATCTTAAACCCCGAGGAAGAAAAAAGTTGAAGTCTTTTTGGGATGGCTATGTTCGTGAGACGAGCCGCATCGAGTCGAAATGCGATTGGGTTTCTCATAAGAAGTTCCTTAGTTGCTCAATCTCGCGATTTCTCTCACAAGACGACTCCCTTTTCACCCAATCTGGTGATAGGCCGAGATTCGCAACTCGATTTGTCCACCACGCCCGATTTCTTCAGAGATTCTCGCCGAGGGTTCGCAAAAGGCAAAAAATCAAGTAAGTTCAATCGCTTGTGTAGTCGATGGAATCTCCCTGAATCAATCGCTGAATCTAAGAATGAAAGAAGAGTGTTTTGTATGATTAAGCATTTCTGCCTTTTCTTCTTCAGAGGATGATTCAGGATCTGGGTTGGTCGACGTAGCTCCAGATATCGGGCCTACCGTCAAAGCATCTGCCTCTTCGCAGATGGAAGCAGCCATCGATGCATTGTCTCGAGATTTAAGTAAACTAAGAACTGGAAGAGCAGCACCAGGTAATTTAACTATACTTGTTTCTTTACGTTAAGCATGTGCTTATTCAGGGGGGGTTTTGCAGGAATGCTTGATCATATTATTGTTGAAACTGGTGGAGTAAAGATGCCACTCAATCACTTAGCTTTGGTCTCTGTGCTCGATCCAAAGACATTGTCTATCAATCCATATGATCCCAATGTAATACTGATCCTTTCTCTCTCTGTTCATTGCAACGTTTTAGACAAAACAGAATGTGATTTTTCTCTAATACTGATCCTTTCTCTCTCTGTTCATTGCAACGTTTTAGACGTTTCAGAATGTGATTTTTCTCTTACTTATCGACAAATTTCCCTCAAACACCCGTATTAGAAGTTAAGCCCAAGCTTTGTTTCTGCAGACGGTGAAAGAACTTGAGAAAGCAATAGTCGCATCGCCATTAGGATTAAACCCGAAAGTGGATGGGCAACGACTAGTCGCAGCAATCCCAGCGTACGAAACAAATACTCTTCTCTGTCAGAATTTGCATTGTTGAGCACAGCCATATTTGACTTTTTCTGCTTTCCCTTAATGCTTTGTTGAGCAGATTGACCAAGGAGCATATTCAGGTAAAGCTTGAGAATTCTTCCATGTCTTGTTTTGCCAGTGAGATTGAGCCTTGACCCTAGAATGAACTACAGGCGATGTGCAAGATTGTAACAAAGTCCAGTGAAGTTGCCAAACAAAGCATACGAAGAGCTAGGCAAAAGGTAGTATGAACGTGTGGCATGGACACCGTATAAGCTTCTACGTCAGAATCTAATGAGGAGAGACCTTTCTTTTCTTTGGCAGGCACTGGACACAGTAAAGAAAGCAGGGTCAAGCCTATCAAAAGATGAAGTGAAAAGACTAGAGAAGGAAGTGAGTATCCTCCTCCTCTCTTTCCCCCCCAAATGGGTTTCCTTGTTCCATTATCTAAGGAAGTGGCCATCTCTTTATCTTTTGTGTTTACAGGTAGAAGAGTTGACAAAGAAGTTTGTAAAGTCAGCAGAGGACATGTGCAAGTCCAAAGAGAAAGAGATCACAACCCAAGCCTGATCTCATCACTTAGTTCCCACCAGAAGGTCATTATTCATCACTAGCTGAACAAGTTTCAGTCTTCTTCTTTTTTAACGGTGCCTTAATGATTCAGACAAAACACCCATATATGGTGTTCATTACCGAGATTTGTTTTGAATGTTCAATTTGGTGATATTGATTGCAAATTGATGGTGCTTGGAGGCGACTGATACGACAGTGCTGAAATGCCTTTCAAAAGGCCCAACAAAGGAGGCCTTAAATAGTCCTTTACATTGCTTTATGTTTAAATTGATTACAGAATTAAACGAAAATTCATGAATTAGCATTTGTAGTTGAAGAGAACTTTCCAAACTTGAAAATCAAGGTAAGGGAGGTAGGAGATAAGTCAATTTTATACCAATAAGTAACATCATAATGAAATTGATGTTTTGGTAAATTTGTTACAAGCCATTCCTAATCTTGTTGTACTTGCAATGTATAATTCAATGATTACTTACTTAGAAATAGAAAAGTATCCATGTATAAAATAATAAGTTCGTCACAACATTCCAATTTGATTCAAACTTATTTTATACTAATTCATTTAGTTTACTCTATAAACTCGGTCCATCTCTGCAACAAATTTAAAAAAAAAAACCGGCTTTCACCTACCACAAATGTTTTAATTACTAATTGATTGCATTTTAGATATGCTTTTTTTATAAATACGTAAGTGAACGTATATAATAATAAGCTGTATAGAGAGAGTTTTGTCGGCAAAAAG